GTTTGGAAACTAAAAGCTCATTTTACACTGGATGCATCATTTGCAGAAAAGTCTCATTTTAAATAGTTTTATAAAAAAAAAATTACTGAATTTTTATTAATGTTTATGACAAGACTATTTATTACCTAAAAATTATTATGCATTGTTATTATAAAAAAGTTTTGTCTAATTTTTTTTAATATAACAAGTTACAAATTTATTTTTTTAGGTATCATTGTACCATAAAAAATAATATATTTGTTTTGATTTATCACAAAAATAATAATTTATTTGTTTGGATCTTATATATATATAGCCATTGTACGCAACAATATATTTCTTTTCAAAACCTGATAAGTGGCAATGAAGCTACTAAGAAGCGTCCCTCCATCATCTCATCAGCTACACTACCCTTCCTCGTTAATTGTAATAACATATTAATTTGAATCTATATATGTTAAAATTTTAAATGGAAACCCATCCATTTATGTTTCGAGAAATTTAATAGTATGAGAGTATTTTTTAATATTTATTTTATAAAAAGGATAGATAGTATAAAGGATGTGCTTTTAAGATCTTAATCTCAATTAACCTACATATTAATTCAAAAAACTTTATGATCGTGGAATTAAAAAAAAAACCATGTCATATTTATCAAGAATATGCTGGTATCTGTGAAATAAGTGGCCATATATCTAGTTGTGATAGTAAATTCAGGTTAAATGGGTCAATTTATTATTATTATTTTTTTTTGGGAATTTGAAGTCGTTTGAGAACTGAAATTTTAATTAAAAAGGTTAGAATTAACCTCGTGTAACTTTGGCCAATTTAAAATTGGATCGTTTTTTTTAATTAGATTTTGTAGAGTGTTATCCATTGATTATTGGATTTTTACGCGTGAAAATCAAGTGATTATTGCATTAATTAATATATATCATTGATTTATTAACTTATTTTTAAATCCTTAGATGAATTTAACTTTTGAACAGAAAAAATTAAAAATATATTTTTTTAAAGTGACAAAAAAATTCTACATAAATCTGATTAAAAAAATTAGCATGTCAAAAATAAATTCTTTCTAACTATTTAAATTTAGAAAACTATGAAAATTGATGGATATTCTGTTTTTATGGGAAAAAAATAACAGAAGGATTCAATTTCTTTTTCATTTATATTTTTTATCACTGTATATATATATATATATTACTTATCCTCAAAATTCAAATTCTTTTGTTTATTTTTAATTAAAAATTATAGATATTTTTCCTTATCGTTTTTTTTTAAAATGTATTTTTTATTATTTTTATATTCAAAAGTTAAATTCATTTAAGGATTCAAAAATAAGTTAATAAATCAAGGGCTTAGATCAATTTGTACTCAAGTTACTAGACTATCACGAGCAAAAATCTATTAAATGATGGACAAAATTCTACAAAATCTAACGAAAAGTTCTAATTTTAAATGGACAAAATTTACAATAAGTCGATTTTTATTTCATTAATTGAGATGCTAGTTCTCCTATGATTTAAATTTCATTGAGCATTTGACACATTTAGACATATAATAACTATGCATGCTCTCACAAAAAGTGACAAGTGTTTGTATCATTTGAAGTAGCTATAACTTTATATATATATATATTTTAAGCTAGTTTTTATATTGATTAATATTAAATTAACCATTTTTCGAGTTAATTCAACATCAAAATACATCTAATCTTTGATGTATAGCTAGATTTCTCTTTTGTCAAATCAGTTCAAACTTGATATTATTAATAAATAATTATAGTTAATTATTTATATATAATAGGAATTCAATCTGGATATTAGCTAAATAAAAACAACCCTTTTATCACTATGCCACAAATCCTTTGATGATGGGGCTAGTTATAACTACAAGAGTGACCTGTACTACAATTGGAGTAGCCCTTTGTGTATAACAAAAGAAAGTAAACAAAAAAACAATAATGATTGTATCAATCTAGGAGAGCATTTCTAATAACACTTCTCCAAAAACATCGTTCTGCATTGCCGGGTGAGAAATCCAAGCACGCGTCTTACCAAATTTATAAGTTAATAGAACAAATGATTAAAAAACTAATTGATAATTTGTAGAATATTTGGTATTGTAACGTCAAAGTTGTTTTAATTCACGTTTATTTTATTTTATTATGTGAGTGGTTGACACGCAGCAACATTTTGGGCTTATCATCTGGTAGATATTATTCAGAGAGTTACAACACAAGGCTGATAAAAAAAGCCTTATAAAATGATCCTTGTATAGAATCGCTCCTTTCTAGATACTTGAGGAATTCACGAACTAAGATCCAATTCTTTCCGAGGTTTCGGTTAGAATTAATGGCAGATACCTGAGGAATTTTTCTTCTTGGTAGTACTGGAAATAGAAACACAATAGTTAAATGATTAAGCTAACCCCAGCTGGCCATAGGACCTTTACGGACAATAAAATAAACTTTTTTGGTTTTTTTCCTCCTAAAAATAAAATAGAATGGACAGTAACAAAATCTTTATGTGGTAATACTAAAACCAACACATTCAAAGTAATTGAGTGGATGAAAGTTAACTAGAACCCCATGTAGAATCCAAAACTAAGTATGAACAAACAGTTAAATAGTTTGGTTTTATAAAAATTCAATTCGGTTTTCGGTTAATCGACATAAGAAAAATTAAAATTGAAACCGAACCGAAATAAGTTCAGTTTGAAATCAAATTATTTCGATCTTAACTGAAATAATATTTTAAAAAATTGGTAAATTCTAAATATGGGCTGAACTAATATTTAGAGACTTTTTATTTTTAAATATATGGACTGAGCTAATAAAGAGTATGCTTCCTTCTTGAATATCATAATTTAAATCTCAAACTAGGTGTAGGAAATGAATTTTTTATAAATCCCTTAATTTTACCATAATATATTCAGTTTTCGATGAGAAGCAAATTTCTTTTTTCAAAAACGAACCAAACAAAAATAATTTTAATATTTCGATTCGGTCTTAAATTTTATAAATTTAATTTCAAAATTGAACTAAAATATATAATTCGATTCGGTTCGATTCGATTTTTTTATTAACCGAAATTATGCTCATCGCTATCCATAACTAATCCTTCCAATCGAAAGAATCTCAACAAACTATTTGGCGCTACAAAGTCATTAATTATAGCCTTTTTCTCACCCATCAATTTTGGTTACAAGTTTGATACATGTGATTGCTGCTAATTTACAACACACACAATCTATAATTACTACCATAAAACATCTTTAAGCGTTGTTTAGTAGCAATAAATGAAGTCGTAAGAATGAAAATAAAAGTTTATTTTTAATGTTTGGTTGAAAAAAATAAACTGAAAATGAGAATTAAAATTAAACGTAGTTTTATTCTCATAAAAAGGTGAAAATAAAAAATAAGAATGAGATTTCTAGTATCAAAACAATAATATATTATTTTTATTTATTATGTATCAAAAACTTTTACTATTATGTTCACATTCATCATTGACTCTATCAAAACATCACCACTACTATTATCATTGGCAATAGTCATAAATATACATATATATTATAAAATAATGAATGTCCATCTACTTTTTATATTTTAACTATTCATGATTCTTAATGTGATTCAATTCACTATTCAATATGAGAAATTGAAAAGATGATGCAATTGATGTACTTTTAATTATTCATAATCCTTTCTAATTCTCATATTAATTTTGAGGTCTATAAATAGACTTGATTGTTCATTTGTTGATGTACAAGTTTTTAGAGAGATTAAGAGAATAACTTGAAGTTTTTCTCACTTGTATTCACTTTATAGTGAATTTTTCTTCTTGTCATCCTTTCTTTAAATTCTCATATTACCTTTATTTTTCACAACAATTTTATTATTATTCTGTCATTATTTTGTTTTTCCTCCTCATCGCTGCTACTTTTATTGTGCTACCAGCAACATTTTATTTTACTCCTAACTTCTACCGTGGTGACATTAATTTTTTTAAAATTTATTATTACTATTAATTATTACTATTACCAACTTCATCACTTACTCCTCCACCACAATGTCTATATCCTTTTTACTATTACCATAATGGATGTAATTATTGCTTTTATTATTATTTTAATTCAACTTAAAATTTGAATATTAAAAATTTTATTCTAATTTTTTATTATTATTGTAAACATAATATTAAAATAAAAATATCATTCTGATTTTCGATATTTTCGTTCCAAAGCTTTTATTTTTAACAACCAATTCACACCTTATTACGTGCTCCTCAATGACTCTGATGGATTTCCAACTCTCTGCTGTCTTCGAGTTTTCCCTTTCAACGGCTTTTAATCCTTGACACGAATGCGATCAATCTATTACTTGACAAAACCATTCCTATGTCGTTACCTAATCGTTTCCCCGAACAATGATGATTGATAGATAAGCTGTTCTCTTATGTCAATATAATCAGGCCAAAAGCTGTAACTTTTATGATTACAAAAATAAAAAAATAAAAATCTCCATTATTTTTTAACGTACCACTCACTCCTTAGGAAGCATCACGCTAATACCTCATAGAAGCCAATTTCAGGCGAGTATTTCATTGCTGAGACTCGTACTCGTAGGATTCTCCGCTAACCAGCGAAATGACACCTTACTTCAGCTTTATTTATTTATTTATTTATTTCTCTCTCTTGTCCCACCATCACATTACTTTTTCAACCATCGTTATGAGAAGTTTCATTTTCCAAAAATATCGAAGCCCAGGGCTATTAAGTAACTTAACAATAGTTGATTAGGCCAAAAAAAAAAATAATAATAATAATTGTCAAAGTTCAGGCACATTACAGCAAGCACAAAAGCCAATTCGACCACTATTTTCACCTATATATGTTCGCAAACACACCACCCTCCCAAATCAAATCTCATCAAGCTTTGTGTGCTTCAAAATTCAACACCACCAGATATAAATCCGAGGCGAAAGAGCCTTAGTGCCAGACGAAGCTCAGCCCAAATGGCAGAACTTCCCATTAACTTGTTGCCCGATGATGGAAGCCCAGAATGGATGAACAAAGGAGACAACGCGTGGCAACTCACGGCCGCAACTCTCGTGGGTCTTCAAAGTGTACCGGGCCTTGTGATCCTATACGGCAGTATCGTGAAAAAGAAATGGGCTGTGAACTCGGCATTCATGGCCTTATATGCCTTCGCGGCTGTGCTTGTATGCTGGGTGGGCTGGGGCTACCAAATGTCATTTGGACACAAAATGATTCCTTTCCTTGGCAGGCCTGATGTTGCCTTGGACCAGAAGTTTCTTTTGGGCAAAGCCTTTCTTGGGTACTTGCCTTCTGCGACCATGGTTTATTTTCAGTTCGTGTTTGCTGCGATCACGTTGATTTTGGTTGCTGGGGCGTTGCTTGGAAGGATGAATTTTCATGCATGGATGCTGTTTGTACCACTTTGGCTTACCTTTTCTTACACTATCACTGCTTATAGCATCTGGTGTCCTAATGGTTGGTTATCCAAGATGGGGATCATTGATTACTCTGGAGGATATGTCATTCACCTTTCCTCTGGCGTTGCTGGTTTTACTGCAGCTTATTGGGTAATTAACTATCACCTACCGCACTATGGCTCGGTTAAAATGCCACGTATTTTTTAGAAATTTGAAGTGGTACTGGCTAGTAACAAAAATAGCCAGTACCCAAACGATAGAAAAATAAAAAAAATAAAATGAAAAGATTGGCTCAAAAGCATATGAAATCAAACGATGGATTAAAGAAAAAAAAAACCAACTTTATATCATGCTAACGGTTTACATGGAACAGGTAGGACCAAGGACAAACAAGGACAGGGAAAGGTTCCCTCCAAACAACATTCTACTGATGTTGGCAGGTGCTGGGCTGCTTTGGATGGGGTGGAGTGGTTTCAACGGTGGTGATCCTTACACTGTCAGTACAGATGCATCTCTGGCCGTTCTTAACACCCATGTCTGCACTGCTACCAGCTTGTTGACCTGGCTCCTTCTTGACATCATTTTCTTTGGAAAGCCCTCTGTCATTGGAGCCACACAAGGCATGATCACTGGCCTCGTTTGTATCACCCCTGCTGCAGGTAATATCACGCCTTTTTGGCCATTATCCTCTGGCAGATAATTTAAATCCTTTCAAGGCTTTTATCTTTTGGCAATATCAGAGAACCAATTAGACTTTCAAGGGAGTGCAATAACTTGAAAAAAAGAAAAAGAAAAACAACAACAACATCGTGAACATCAACTTTTGTAGTTTATGGATATATACTCTTTAAAATAATATAAGATTAGTCAACCTTGCTGCTTGGCAAATTTATTAAAGTACAAAAATTACCACTGAACAGGAGTTGTTCAAGGTTGGGCTGCAATCACGATGGGATTAATGTCCGGTAGCATCCCATGGTACAGTATGATGGTCCTGCACAAGAAAATGTGGCTTCTCAAACAAGTTGATGACACCATGGCAGTTTTCCACACCCACGCAGTTGCAGGGAGCTTAGGAGGCATCCTCACGGGCTTCTTCGCTCATCCTAAGCTCAACCGCATCTTTTACTTGGTACCTAACTGGCAGCATTACATAGGACTTGCCTATGGCGTAAAAACGGGCAGGGTCGGTGCAGGATTCAAACAAATGGGCATTCAGTTGCTAGGAATTCTTTTTGTGGTTTTCCTTAACATTTTCGTCACTAGTGTGATATGTTTGTTGATTAGGTTGGTAGTTCCATTAAGGCTCTCAGATGAGGAATTGCAAACTGGCGATGATGCCATTCATGGGGAAGAGGCCTATGCATTGTGGGGTGATGGGGAGAAGTATGAATCCAAGCATAATTCAGTTTACGGTGTTGAAGAGTTCCCTCAAGTTGGGCCAAAAGGTGGTCAAGTTGAGATGGCTTGAAATATATTGGTTGTACTTGTTTGCCAAGGACGATACAGGACACTGGCAATTAATGTGGCAGGGTACTGTTGGGTTCCAAATTTAGAAGTCTTTCCTCTCTTCTTTTCTCCATATCGTTGTACCTTTTCTCTTTTCTTTCTCTTTTGATGGATTTTTAATTCGGGGTCGAGTGATAAAAGTATAAATATGACTTGGATGTACTGATTACTTCAAATAAGAACCGAATGACACGGGATTTCTAGTGATTGCTTTGCTAATTGCGTGGCATTTATGCATTTACTGATGCTTTAATTTGCAAGTTTAATTGACATTTTTTGTGCAAGTCCAAACCCTTAAAGGCTGTAAAATAGTGTGAACGAAAGCACCATTTAAAGTGGGTTTTGTTCAAATTTTTTTCATTGGCCTGGACGATTGGACCCAAGCCTTATGGTTATAGGCTATGAGAACAGTGAAGTGGAGGTAATTTAATGATTTTAAGGCTTTTAGAGCATCTCGAATTGTGATTTCTAATTTTAGTTAATATTTTTAATATAAATAGAGAACAATATTAATTATATGGATTGAAGCTTAATGTCTTCTCCAATACTACTATTTACTTTAATTTTTTATTTTGATAAAATCTATAAAACATTTAATTTTGAATTTTTTTTTTAATATTCTAAAAAGATCTGTTGGTGAAGAGATTTGAGTGACATAGAAAATAATAATTTTTATTAATGAAATATAAAATAAAAAATTATTTGAATTCCGTAATATTGAAGAGCTAAAAACTCTCCGTATCTCATTTTTAAAAATAAAGATTGTGATAAAAAAATATTAAAGATAAAATTTAAATTAAACTTTTTTATTATCAAAAAAAATGTTAATATAAAGATAGCAATTGGACATGCTCGCATGGACGGAAAAATTACATGTCCCGATATACAGTTATGAAATTGAGGAGATGTCTAAAGAAGTAAATAGGAAATGACAGCATTGGAAGGCAGTTTGCTAGGCGGAAGACCAATCAAGAAAGGCAATTTTGCGAAGATAAATACGGCATCTCTATGGTGGTGCCGCCACCAGTCAGTGGATGTATAACTAAAGTATTCGAAATTTTTTGGATCTTTTAAAAAATCAAAATTAATTTTTTGTTATTTTGTTCGGATACGTAAAAAAAAAAATTATTTAAAGAGATTTTTTATGTGTATATAAATTTAAATTTGAGATTATTTGTTTAAACTATTGGAGTCATTTCATTCAAATTAATCCTCTTAAGTAAATTATTCAATATCTAATCCAACAATAAATAAAAATGTTCTAAAACAATTCTTAATTGGGCACCAAATATGGAAATCTCACAAGTCGTGTTTGAACGTTCAAAATGAACAATTTTCTTTGTTTTTTAATTGCTTATTTATAGGAACCACAAAGAAGTGAAGCTTTCAGGGTTACAGGAATAATTGACAACGACATCCATGAACAAAAAGATACATTTTTAGGTTAGGTTCTTTATTTGCTAGTGGTTGAACTCGTAGCACAGCAAACATTTTGATACATGAAAGTGTAGAAGGACCTACCGTTCAATAAAATTTAGAATGTAAAATATATTTCTTATGAAATATAAATTAAATTATTAACCGAATGTCTCACACATCGAAAATTATATGATCAAAGAAAAAGAGTGGTAAACATATGGATGTTTGAGAAATTAAAAAAGCGACACCCGTTAATGGTGAATTAGTTGTTTTTTCTAAGGGTATTTTCGAATTAATTTAAACTTTAATAAAAACTAAGTCCTTCCTAAATAATTTTTAAAAACACATTTTTCACATCTATATAATTCATTTAAAAAATATTAATTACTTGCTGTTATTCCTTTCTATATTGGCAAGTTCAACTCCCAAGTTGAGGTCCATGAGCATAACAAATTGATTTATTAACCAGGAAACAAGAAAATATACTTTCCCACCTAATAGAAATCATTGATTTTCAAAATCAAACGCAATAGAGAAATTGAAAATATATATATATATATATATATATGATATATATGGCTACCCCCACAATTCACACCCTGTGTGTTTTATAAATCTTCTAAATAAGTTTTTGTCCTTTTAATTTAGTCAATTAAATACATGTATTTTCAATTTTAATAATTTGAGTATATTTTTATACATTATATTAAACAAAAATATAATATATAAATATATAAATATTATAGGAAGGTTTTCACTTTATATGATTATATTATTGTTATTTGAATTAATGCATAAATATATTGATTTTATAAAATTATATTCAGTTGATTAAAATTGGAAATTATGTGTTGAATTGATAACACTAAAATTTATTTGACAGATTTAGAAAAACACAAAATACAAGTGAGTTTAGTAAACAAAACAAAACAAAATAAAATAAAAATAGCCAGTCAGCAGACTATTGGGAGAGTAGAAGTCTTTTACAGTTAATTTTTGAGAGAAAAAGTAAAGCAGCTTTCAAAGGGAAGATGAAAAAAGTCGCTGTATTTTCTGCCCTCTTTTTAAAAAATAAAAAATAAAAACCGCTGGAGTCTCGAGGAGCAAGAAGAGGCAAGGTAAAAAAAAACCCCAAAATCCAAGAATTGTACGGACATTCTTTCTTAACAGTTTGTTTGGTTGCAAATCGATCTATAGGGCTGTATGTACAGATTCTTGTTTTCAATTTAATTCTGTGAAGTGAGATATTTTTATGTAAAAGAAGAAGAAGAAGAAGAAGAAGTGATAATGGAAGTGTAGGAAATTAATCGTGGCCGAAAAATAAATGGATTCTGAAACGGCGTCGTCGGTTGATGAACAAGTTGGTGGTGGAGGAGGAGGTGCGTCAGTGGGAGCTGATACGAGAGGAAAGCATCGGATTCTTGCTGAGCTGAAGCGCGTGGAGCAAGAATTGAAGTTTTTGGAGGTCAGCTTCGACTCTTTGTTTTTTCAACTTTTTTTTTTTGGAATATTATAAATGTTAGATACAGCCTACGTGATTTTGAGGTTTTAGCGAATGAGATGTGCTGTTTAGGTTTGGTTTATGGAAAATATTTTTATCCAAGAATGTTGCTAAGAACTTAGCTTATTCTATCTTAAATCACTGGAATCATTGAAGGATGTGAAAGGCATGCTTTAAAATGCTGGATTTTTTTGTTGAGCATGTATGACCATTGACTGGACGTTGGCTTTATTTTTGTGCTTAATCCGGTGACTGGGTTTTGACTGGACATTGGTGTCGAAAAAGGCTTATGCTTTGATTGAATTATATGGAAAGACCGAAAGAGAGATACGAGGAATCACTGGGAGCTTGGTGTAAGCTAGATGATTGTATAGGAAAAATGATTCTTTCTGGTTAAATCAAGAATTGGGGATTTAGTTCCTATTGTGAGTGTAAATGGAAAAGGTTATGCTATCTAAATTGGCAGGGCATAAATTGCTGCAGTTTTTCAGAGAGGACTAAAAGTCACCTCAAAGTCTGGAATTATTGAGTAGAAAATGATTTGAGGAAACATTGAAGAACGCAGGACATAATCATGCTTCCTGTAATGCTAAGAAGCCCTTTATTTTCCGAGCCATATTACTTGGACATGCTTATTGAAGAAAGTTTGAAGAAAGCTATGATTGAAACTTTTCAATATCTTTCGATTGTCAAGCCAACACGGTGACTTTTAAGTTTCATGGTGAACATTTTGTTTCAAGAGCCTATTTTAATATGCCCTGTCAATACTTGTATACCATACAAAGCATCATAGCAGCTGAGCTTTGCTCAAATGTCTGGAAGAGTTTGGACTTTGGTCCTTCAGTTATAGCACAGGGCTGTAGCATTTCTAATTATATACTTGTGGCTAGCTACAACTGTTTGCTTATGATTAGTTACCTCATTGGCATTGTGTAACTGTGGAGAATTTGAAAAGGTGAGTTAAACATTAACATGTCTCCGAGAGTCGCTTTCTCACTACAGGTTTATGCATTTACTCCTCTATGTTTCTTGAATCAAAGACAACTGCTTTGAACCTGGTATATCCAATAGGGTTTTGAAATGTGACCACCGTGTTGGTGTGGAGGTTATCAGTGGGGGTTGACTTTTGCTCCTTACTCAAAACTTTTTTGTTAGCCATTTTGTGCCGATCAATGTGACCGCATCATTATCTCCATTTCCTCATGTTTATTTTTGTGCATCATTGGCATGGACTCGGTTGTAGTCATGTATTTTGGATTCACCTTATTTTGTCTGTTTCATCAACTTTTTTAGGAAGAGTTGGAGGAGCTCCAAAAAACAGATAATGTATCCACTGTTTGTGAAGAGTAAGTATAACAAATGGTTTTTCTTTTCAAAACTAAGGGATTTGCTCCATAGTTCCTCAATCTCTTCTCCGAGTTGTTAAGAATTTTGTTAGTCTTGAATATTTTTATTGTTGTTCCTCAGGTTGCTGCGCAATGTTGAAAACATACCTGATCCACTACTCACACTGTAACTTCACTGACACCTTCAAATACGTCCTCTTGTTTTCTTAGACTTCTCGTTATCGTCTCTGATGCTCATTCCATAGTTTCTTCCATTACAGAACAAATGGCCCTGCAAACCCTTTGTGGGATCGATGGTTTGAGGGGCCCCAGAATTCACAAGATTGCGGGTGCAGAATACTCTGATTCGAAGCACTCTAACATTTGTTGCTGGAAGCTTCAATATATGTTATGTAACAGATTTTGTGAAAATATGACTGCTCAATTATTGTTTTAGTGAACGGTCGATGAATTTTTCCTCTGCAATAGTGAAATTTTGGGTTATGATAACTGATGTAACAACCATTTTCTCTTCATAAAATTGTAAATCAAGTACTTTGCAGAGATTCTCAGTCTCTCGAGTAGTTGAAAGTGGTGTCCTTCCATCCAGCAAGCTTAACATATTACACTAGTCATTATTTTGTTTTCTTTGGACAAATTCCTGATAGCTGTTGAGAATCATCATAGGGATTTTTTGCATTTCCAGCGAGCAGTTTCCTCGCCATACAGCAGTCACTTGGTTTAATATAATGTGTTAATAAGAAAATGGCATGATCCTTTCTCATTTTACAACGATCAACTCTTTTGGCAAACATAATCAGGCAACATGGGAAAAGCACTAACATGGTGGTGGTTTTGAGCTTTTGATGAATTTCAGAGGACTACGAGATTCAAGATAAACCGCTCTTTGCATTTTCACCCAATGATATTTTGGAAGGAACTTTGGTGCAACTCACTACTGCATATGCATAAATATAAGGAGCTCACGACAAATCCCACCGCTTTCGAAAACAAAGCAGCCTATAATATTCCTTTGAAGCGGGATTGACTTGAGGGAAAGCAGCTGTTCTGAGTCTCGTGACACTAAGATTTTAGTAGACCAAAAACTTCTGTGTATTCGTAAACGCACCATAAACTGCAAGATATAATGGATGATGGACCTTGTGTCACTTCAGAAGAGACTGTTGTGGTGGAATGGATTGCACCGAACTTCCAGAAACTAAACATAGGATAGATCAATATTGCAGAAACTAACTTCCTTCTTGTTTGATTTCAAATGGAGATCAATTTTACATTTCTCAAGGCTTCAAGATTCAAGAAGCAGCCTAAAACCCACTATAATTTTCATAGCAGGTCACCAATTGTTAGGCAAACGCCTCCATATCCATCCTGAACAATCAAAAGCCCTTTCCTGTGATAAAACCACAGACCGAGATACGCAGTCTAGTGCCAGATGAAAATGAGCAAGCATGATGCTCGGAAGAGCAGCTTCATAAATGCAATGCAAGCTCTATGCATCGCAATACATTCTATTTATACATCGACAAGATAGACCAAAACATTCTATTTATACATTGACCTCATCTGGTACGGCTAGAATATTTCAAAACAATGTGCAAGACAACATGGATGTACAGTTAGAAGTTGAAACGAGGCCACCAACTATGAAGTAGTTTGAAATCAGCTGAAACCAATTCCAGAGTTATCATTGGGTAGACCTACAAAGAAAGGAGTGGAGGGCAAAAGAAGAAGATTACAAAACTTGAGAGGACAATAGTTGCCTCAGATGGAGAAGGTGTTCCTCGTCTGAAATGTGAAGGGATAGGCGAAGATTTGTTAGAAGTGACTCTTGCTCCCAACTTAAAGGACCTGAAGCATGCAATGCTTGCACAGTTGACCTATAAGCATGAAACTCTAGTTCATGGATTTCAGCTTCTAGCTTTTGTTCAAAATGAGGAGTTAAATGCTTGAAGACAGAGAAGGAAAGAAATGATGACTCGGCATCTGAGTTATGGGATGTGTTATCCAATGGTGTCTGGAAATTATGATTGAAGGAGTTGGCAACGCCTGTAGAACTACAGCTAGCAACAGAACTTTGGTTGCTATCTTCAGTCAAAAGAGGCCTGGAAGAAGTAAATAAACACTTAGCAGTTGCTTTTACCACATTGGTATTCATCTCACCAGATCCCTTAGATTTCTCATCCGCTCTTAATTTTTCAGAAGATATGCTATCTTTCCTCTTAAACGAAGGAAGATTCCTTACAAGTTGCTTGTGGCATCCTCCCACACAAGAAACCAGGTCCTTGGAAGATCTCTCAAGATGGGGCTGATAGAGACCCATTTTGACGTTATTGTGCCCATCCTTGAGGTGTTTCTGTCCATCTTTCTCTCGTAAGCATGAATATTTGCTCACCACTGGTACTGGAGCCCTTCGCATGAAGCTACCAGAATACTTCGACCTCTTTTTGGTACAATTTTTGGTATATTCTTTATTTTGAGCAACCTGCAATTGAAGTTACTCAGATATCAGTAACAGTTTGAGTTTCTCCTAAAAAAAATTCTTAGAAAGCTTCACCATTTGAACTAAAAGAATAAAATGACACTATTCTCTGCAAAATAAATTGTAATTGTTCTCATACGAGTGTATGAATGCACAGCAGAGGAAAACTAAAAGCAAATAAACAAAGACTTCTATCAAGAGCAGCAGGACAGTTGGTTCACGGGAAGAAGACTTCTAGCCATATGGCAGTGAATGACTAGAAAATACATGGATTTAAAACAGAGAAAAAGGGGTTATATGAGACATTGCAGTGAAAGAATACACTGAGAACAGAAGTTGAGTCCATAAAATCAGAAGACGCATGTTCACAAGCAGAAGCACACATGCATAAGATCTCATATGGAAAAGTCAAGACAAGCTTACTATTAAAAAGAGAATGTCAACCGTTCAGTTTGCAGAACAAAATGCCGTACAATCTCAAATTATGATAAACTAGCATTTAGTCAAAGGGGAGAGGCAGATGTTTAAAACAATAGAAAGTGCTAGCCAAGGAGAAATCGAAGGCAAACCAAAGAATAAGCATAAGCAGGGAAAAAAAATACCTTTCCTATCACCGACCAATTATTGTTATGCCAAGCCTGCTGAATCCTTATATTTGATTCGTGAAATTCTTTAAGTTGAATGGATCCGAACAGTCTCACAACAAAAAGGTTATTCTTCAACACCTTTGCAATTTTTCCTTCTCTCCAACATTGAAAATCAAATATCTCAGCAACATCACCAACCATCCATCTTTTCCTCTGTTTATGAGGAGGCTGAGGCCTGACATCCTCCTTATGCACCTTCTCCATGACTGGCTCCCCCTTGTTGTCTGAAAATGATTCATACCTAATTTTACAATAATTGCCACGGGCTGAAACTACACTGCCAGGAAACCATGAGCCACATGGCTCATGTTCTCTTCTTAAAACCTCCACCAAATTCCCTTCTTTGAACTTCATGATTCATGAGTCTCTCAAGCTTGAACCTGAGAAGACAAACATAAAATTTAGTAGAAAAGAATAATTCGATTTGTTATCCATGTGCCATTTTTTAAATATTATTATAAGAAACTGTGGAAGAAAATCCCATTTTGTTGCAGCAGATCAAAGATATAAAGGATCAGATCACTAAAGCAGGAAATCGAAAACAATCTAAAGCTGAGTGAGATCTAAAATCCAATAGATTTAAAAATTGAAATTTGGTCATCTATGAACAGCAATCAACAGAGACACAATCATAAGAATCACCAAATCTTCAACAATACAATATTTATTCATCAAACTTTGGGGTGGACTACAACATAAGATTCATGCTTTTAACAGGCTTCATATTATATTGTACATCAGACCAGTTCCCTCGACTTTTAATTAAGGTTGTCAATCATGTATTGGACAAAATCAGCATTAGAATATGTCACAACCAGATACATAACCTCATTATTTTCTTTTCTCTTTCTTTTTTTAACCAAGATAAATCATATTGTTTGTTGAAGAAAAGGACCTACCCAGAATTTATTAAAATCTTTAAACCATAAGCAACTGAAATACAAAACAACCAAAAATTAAACCCTTCAAGATTAAATTCAAAAAAAAAAAAAGAGAGAAAGTAATTGTGCTCAAGAAAATAAAATAATGGAGCTGACCTGGACTGGGAATGACATTTGCAAGAGAACAGATACACTGCTTAGTTGTGCTCATAACCATATCTCTACGCATATTGGCTGGCTGTATGTTCTCACTCTTCTTCGTTGTTTGAGAAACTTTTCCGGTATGGATTAGCTCATTTGGTAGTAACTTAAACCCGCTTTCACATTTAGTATCATCAAGTATTTTGTCACTCTGTAGCAATTTCATTGGACCATCGATCCTTGTAAGTTTTTTTTTTAAAGTCAGTCTATATTAAAGTTATTCAATTACAGAGACTAAAAATTCTCTTCCGGTTACCTTCAATTAATACTACATTTATTGAGAAATTGTTTTCAGTCACCTTCCTTTTGGATTCTAACTAACGTAAAATATAATATCGGAAAGAAAGTCTTATTTACTTAGGCCCGCGACCGAGACATTTATCTAATTGTGCTAATTGTGTATTTTCATATCCGTGGTTTTCCATAGCAGGATTAGTTTGGATGAAAAAGCTTTGGCGTTTAAATAAATTTTTTCGATTTCAAATTCTTGTACGTACAGAAAATTTTTGGGATAATTTATCCGTTTTATAAGTTCGATTGAATAACGTGGTATTAACTGAATGGAACGGATTTGATATAAAAAAAATTATCCTATTCTTAATTTTTGAATTTTATTTTTTAAATACTTTAAATACATATAAAAGGAACATTTTTAAAATTATCTAAACAAAAAAAAATTAATTTAAGGAGAGTGTAATTTCATTAATACTAAAAATAATGTATACCCATTACAATTGCTATAAAACTTAAACAAAGATTACAAATATTATAATCAATTCTAGTAGAGTTAAAAGAGATTTACTTACTAAAAGAAAAATTATTACCTTTCAAGTAGCATCTAGCTCTTCAATTTTATATACTTTTAAATAAGTAATTTTTATCATATGTTTCAAACGTAGAAATTTTCTTCCATCCTTTATCAATAAAAAACATAACGCGCTATCAAACCTTATTGATGGAAATAATAAGATTGCAATAAGGTGTTAAAACCTTTTTTCATTGATAAATATGACAATCATGTCATTTGAAATTTATTTATGACAATGATTTTATGTTTAGATTTTTCATATATTTTTTAGCAAATTTTCAATCCGTACAAATTAATAATAAATTTAATCTTAATTGATATATAAACTATTTTGAGAATATCTTTTATAATTATAAAGAAAAAGAAAAGGAAAGAAGAATAATGCTTGCTTACCTTATTTTTGGTCAATGTTGTGATTTTTCTAGTTGTACGAGGATCATCCACTCATAGTGGTGGATCAAGAGCGACATCAGGTCGATGAGATTTTTTTATAACTGACAGGCTATGGGCCTAAAGGGTCAATTGAATGATAATTGATGGTTACATCATAAAATGTGATCCTTATCTCTGAAAACTTTTACGGCTTTTTTCTAGTCAATTGGCATTCATCATCGTCCATGTTTTCTGCGTTATGAATTTTTGGAATCATTCGTTTGGGAATTGCCACAAAAGACCAACGGAAAAATCTAAAATATTGATCTCATTTTCCACTATTTTTCCATTGATGCAGTAAAAATAGTTGGTTAAATTTTCATGCACGATATGGTCACAATACTCGTTATTGTGAATTTGAAGTAAGGGAACATCCTTATGGGTTGCCATTACAACATAATTTATTCGTTTGAATTTTCAGAGCCATGTTATTGCGTGGATGCCATCAGCACGGATTGCTGGTTCAAACTCGCGACGAATTAATACTCCAGTACAAACGATGTAACTTCACAAGAAAAAACAACGAAGCATGAGTTTGAATTAATGTGTGAAATTGTACATTCATTCATTATATACAAAACAGTGTAATTTTGAAGAACTCTTAGCCTTATGTCCTTGGGTATAGAATATAAGTCATATTCACCGCATGCTATAATATCAATATGTAACACATTGTTACTTTACCAGGCCTTAAAAAATTATATTTTTGAGACTGGATTAGTGCGTGGTGACATTTAAAGACCAATATAATAAGAGATTTTGTTTTGGTGGGTAAAAAAAAAGATAGATATCTACTATTGCCACTAAGACTTCTTTTTTCATATAGAATTTTCCATCGGGACTCAAATGTATATGGACCAGTCCTAAGTTCGTGGGTGACAAATAAGAACGGAGAAGGACGGATAAGGAACGATTCTAAATTTCGTATCCTTCTGGTTATAAATTTATACCCCCGAGCATTTGACGTAAAGAACAAGGGGTAAAAGATATGGCTAAGGTAGTGCTATTTTTATTTTTGGTTAATTGGTTTGATAATACCTTATATACATTGATTGGTGTCTCAATTTTAATTTTTTTCAATTCAAGTATCATAACTGTTTTTTGATTTATAATTAAATTAGTCGGTCATGTTGACAAAATTTCAAGCACATTGTTTGCGTATGATGCTGACATGGCCTAATAAATTAAAGACAAGTGTATTCTTTGTTAGTGTTGTCTTTATTTTCTACTAACATGACCTTGTAAAATTATAAAATACTCCTCACTTCTGAATTAAAATAATAGACAAAGTTTTTAAAGTTTCAAAAAGGCTTATTGTATTAAAAAAATCATGAAATTTACATTTTTTTAATTATATTAGCACTCTCTTTTAACATTAGACAAAAAATACATTAACTAAGTTTTTGATAATCATATTAACACTCGTAAATTATTTTGGTTTAAATTTTGTTTTCAATTGACGTGGTGTGTGAGATAGGACGATAGCTTGGCATAAATGACACATAAGATTACACATAAAATTAATCAATCACTATCATTAACACTAACAAAGAGAGAAAAAGAGAGACGCTTGAATCGAAAAGAGAGAAGATAGTGCTTAACATCATTTTCTTATATGTGTGTCTCATTTCTTTGCAATTTGAATGTTTATGTGGTCCGTGACGATTTGCTTCAAATTTTAAGGTTAGTAATTTTTAAATCGATTGCGGTTAGTAATTTTTAAATTGATTTTTTTAGTCATTAATTATTTCTAATGATGTGTTTTTAATTAGTTTATTTGTGTTTGTCTTGGGTAAAGGCACAATGAAAAATTGTGAGTTAAACATGAAATGTCCTTATCTTTATCTTTGTCTTCATGTTTAAGTTGGATAAAAAGCATTTATGTGGGGTTGGAACATTGATATGTGACCTCATAGTGTTTAGTTTTTATAGGGTTTGCACTTATGCGTGGTTCTTAATAAATGGCAGTGTTTCTAAACAAAATGACAGTATTTTGTTCATCTTTTGTTAGGGTTTTACATTAAAGATTTCGAAATGGAACTTGGATATTTTTATGAATTGATTTTTTTGTTGGTTATTTGTATTTGTTGTATAGAAAATGTGTTGTTTTGGTTATTTTTTGTTGTTTATGGTATACGATTACTATCAAGGATAGTTTATGGTGGTAAATTCATATACCATTCAAAAGCTGAATATGTAAATGCTGCAATGATTGATCGGGTTTTTTGACACGAAGAATTTAACTATAAAGTATATTATTGGAACACGTAATGTAACTTGGATATTTAAACATATACTAGTGGTATTGTAAGTATCCTAATGAGGACATGAATTCTAAGTTAAGGGTTATAAATGATAATTATGATTTATAAAATATCCCTTTATACCAAGTTAATGATTATAAATGATAATTAAGATTCGCAAAATGTGGGTTTATATATCAATGTCCATGAAAAACATATGTTATTAGTGTATGTTGAGCATGAAATAGATAATCCTATGTTAGATTAGATTTTTTTATGATAAAAATAGTTTTATAGAAGAATATAGTGTTAATGACAATGACAATAAGGGTAAGGGTGAGAAATGATGGTTTGAGAGTGAGAATGATCATGAATATGTTGATTTGGATGTAAAATATGACAATGGCTAATGTAGTGATGAAGAAGATAAAAGATTGAGTAACTTTGAAGACAATGATAATGACCAAGAGGGTTTATTTTATACTAAGGATGACAAAAGGGTACGTGAAGAAGTTCATAAATGGATAAGAAGAAATAGAGATAATGGTGGTAATAGTGGGATCAGTAAGGGAAGTATGAATGATTGATGTAGTTGAGGTGATGAGAATGAAACCGAACATGCCGATAGTGATGATTTGAGAAGTTTGGATGGTTCTCCCAATGAACATGGGATAAGAAATCCTAGATATCCTATCTTTAATCTTGAGACTGATTTTAAAAGTAAAATAAATCTTAAACCTACAATAAAGTTTAGGAACAAATTTGTGTCAAGGAAAGCATTAAAAGAGTATTCAATTAAGACCGAATATGACTACAAGTATAAGAAAAATAAGGACACATGCATCGAGTGCAATATGACATAAAAAGTATGGATGGAAGTTCTATTCTTCACCATCCGTTGACGTAACTTGTTCGTAGATTAAAAGCTTTTATGACAAGAATAAGTGTGGAAAGGATTTTGATTTAAAAAAAAAATTAATGCTCAATGGATTGTTGAAAAAATATATAGAAGATTAAATCCAACCTAATATTGATCTATATGCCTTATGAGGTAGGATAGCGAGGGAGAAAAAAAAAGGAAAAAGTTTTGTATGATAAGTGTTTTAAAACAATCCAAAAAGCAAATAAAATAATTAAAGATAGAGAAAATGACCGATTTACAACGTCGTGGAAATATATTGTTGTTCTTAAGAAATTGAATCATGATAACATTGTCAAGGTTGATGTTTGTGATAATATATTTTACAAAATGTATATGTATTTAGCAAGATATAGGAAATAGGTTTTACTCCGTTATAGATCTTTTATTGTCATTAGTGGGTGCCATTTGAAAGAAAAATTCAAGAGTGACCTTCTAATTGCTGTTTGTAGAGATATTAATGACAATATATATTTGCAATTACATGTGTAATTGTATATGAAGAGACAAGAGAGCATTTGAAGACATTTAATCACTTGATGAGTGTGTACTGGACATTTATTTCAAATAGATAAAAGGTAAATTTATATTTATTTACATAGAAAATAAAAATTATTATCTTATATTTACATACATTTAGTCTAAAGGTTGATGTTGTTGTGTTTATTATGGAGTTTGGAGGTAATTTTTGAAAAAAAAAAAACTTAAAGGATGTGGATCACGGATTTTGTGTAAGACATATATGGTAGAATTTTAAGAAGTAC